TTTTTTTTTTTTTTTTTTTTTTTTTTTTTTTTTTTTTTTTTTTTTTTCAATCCTTCTCTTCTCTCTTACTTTTTTTTTTTTTTCTTAATTGCCATTTATTATTATTATTATTTTGTTTATACAATTTAATTTTTATAAATATGTTTTTTAATTATTTTTATTTATTTATTTATTATTTCTATTATCTTCTCAGCTCCATTATCACTTTCCCATTTCCCATTGCAAACTGTATATAGATCGTTTATTGTTTTTTTTTTCTATTTTTTCTATTTCTTTCTTGTAAAAGAGGGAGAAATTTAGATTAGTGGAAAAAAATTTGGGGAATAATTGTTTTTGAATTATTTTTATTTGATTATTTATTTATTATTTTACTTAGGCTATGGTCTCATTTATGGAAAGGGAAAAAATATTTCTAACTTTCTCCTCATACACCTTCTCTACAAAATTGCTTATCAGACAAATAATTATTTTACTTTTAGTTTCATCCTACAAATAGTTAGATATATGTTTATGTGTGTTTATTTATTTATTTATTTATTATTTTACTTATTCTATTACAATCGGGCAAAAGGGAAAAAAAATTCAATTTCATTCGGCAATCGAAAGGCCTCTATTTCTTTGTTTCATTCAACAATCGACGAGCCTCTATTTCTTTTTTCTATTTTTTCTTTTCTTTGTTAGAAATTCGGATTTTTTTTAAAATTTTGATACATTTTGTGTCTTTGATTTCTACGTGAGGCTATTACACCTCCTAACAAAATTACTTTCGGTTACTGCGTGAGGCTTTTACAACTTCTAACATAATTACTTTCAGTTTCTGCGTGAGGCTTTTACAACTTCTAACATAATTACTTTCGGTTTCTGCGTGAGGCTATTATACCTTCTAACATAATTACCTATAAAATCTAATAGAATACCTTCCGTTTTTGCGTGAAGCTAGTACACCTAACAAAATTACTGTGACTATTACATCTTCTAACAAAATTACCTTAAGTTGCTGGGTGCAAAATTACCTAGCTATTACAACTTCTAACATAATTACCTTAAGTTGTTAGGTGGGCTATTACACTTTCTAACAGAATTACCTTTTGTTTCTGGGTGGGGTATTACATCTTCTAACAGAATTACCTGGCTATTACACCTTCTAACAGAATTACCACATTCTGACAGAATTACCTGGCTATTATACCTTCAGAATTACCTGGCTATTACATTTTTACACCTTTTAACAGAATTACCTTTCCTTTCATTCATAGACATTTCTAATAATTATCACGTTTTTAGAATGAGATAGATTTTTCTATTTTCAATCATTTTTCTCTCTCTCACTTTTTTATTATCATTTTTTTCTTTTTTTTATATAATTTAATTTTTATAAATATGTTTAAATTAAATATATAATTGACTATAATACATTAAAAATAATTTTGATATACTACATTATTCTATTATTATAAATTAATATAAATAAACTTAGTTATAAGGCAACCTACATTAAAATAACTTATGTAATAAGTTGTAATTAAAACATTATTTGATGATTAAAAATTAATAAGTTAATATTATACAAACACTCTTCTAAAATGAAACAAAGTAATGATAATGATATTTTATATTTCATTTATTTTTATGTTTTCTTAAGCCCAATAAAACTAAACCAAACGTGAACTATGGCCCATAATGTTATTTGTAAATATACGAGGACCCATTCATAAAAAGAAAATTACGCGCCCGTTACGAACGGGTTTCTGCACCTTTATAAAGAATGTTTTGTTCTCATCTCTAACTAATGTGAGATCTGACAATCCACTCCCTTGAAGACCTAGCTACCTCGGTGTCACATTGCCTGAAACTTGACTCTGGGCTTGAGTTGTTACAAGTAGGATGTGACTCATCATCAGTTCTTCCTACCCGAGCTGTATTTCGTTAATGTCATTGTTATCCTTTATTGCTTACTAACCTATAACATTACATTGTTAAAACGCTTTTAAAATATTTTCAAAACCTTCTTTGACTCTTTAAACCCTAAACCCCAGAGTATATGTTCACCATGCCAACAGAAACTTAAGCTTTAGTGGGTTGATTTAATCGAATATTTTGAAAACATATTCAAATTATCTTTTATTGGTATGAAACTATTAAATAAATGTTGAAATAATGGAAGAAAAAACAGCCTTATATTTTAATAAGAATAGTATTATTGGTATTTTATTAATAGCATCTGGTACGAAGTTTTGCATCTCACAATTTTTTAAAATTTATTTATAAATTTATAAATTTCATATATAATTATTTCTGGGTCTACAAAATTATTGCCATTTATTTTACATTTATATTTCATAATTATTTTAGAATAATTAATAAAAATACCCAAAGTCTAAAAAAATATATTCTTTAAGCTTACAAAAAAAATTGTCCAAGGTTTAAAAAATACCCATAAAATTTTAAAACTAATATTGACATCTTTTTACCGTTATAAAAAAAAGTTCAAAAAAATTATTAACGTCAGTATATGAACGAAACTCGTCTATCGCCACCTCATAGATTAATTACAAACGTTTTAATGTTATTTTGGAAAATTCATAAGTATTTTTGCAACCCCAACTAACAATAAATGTATTTTTGAATTTTTTAAAAAAGTTTAAAGGTTATTTTATAAGTTTTTAAAAAGTTTAAGGGTACTTTTTGAAGTTTTTAAAAATATTTTAAGAATATTAATAAAAATTTTGAAAACTTAAAAGTATTATTTAAATTATTTTAAAAGAAGAAAATTATTTTTAAAACAAATTATAATTGTTTTCATCTAAATAAAGGTATTTTTAAAATATTATTATTTTTACAATCTCTTATACTTATTTAATGATATTTTAAAATTTAAAATTTAAAATTATTTCGTTTATTTCAACTCTATTAAATTTTTATCTTAAATCTCAAATTTATTTAAAAATATTATTTATTTTTGGACAATATATTATCAATAAATGAATACTATTACTTTGAATATGTATAATAATATTTTGATGTGACAGGTATGGTAGCCATATAATTGAATGAGTTAGTACATATTAAATAAAAAATAATAATTTAAAAGATTACCAAAAATATGATTCAAAATATTTATCTTTTCCTAAAAAAAGACTAACTATAATTATGGTCGGTGGGGAGTTGCAGCACTCGAATCGTGAATTTCCAACTACATATTTACTTTTTATTTATTATTTATTAATTAATTTTAGAACTATTGAAAAATCCTTAATTCAATTGATTTATAAAAATTAAAATTTTAAAAATGTAACAATAAATGTTTGAAAGTGGAAATAAAAGGAGAGAATATTGCTTCAGACTTTGGACAAAAATTGTTTAAAAATAAAAAATAAATAAAACTTAAGGGAAAGATAAATTTTAGAGAGAAAAAAATTAAAAAAACAAAAAGAGAAATTTTAAAGAGAATAAAGTTAAAAGTGAAATATTTGTTAAAAAGAAAAAATGTAATAAATTCTTGAACTTTCTATCTAATATATTCCTTACGAATTTAAAATTTTAAAAAATTAAAATAAGTACACAAAAGTTGATGAGTAAATATTTAATTTAAGCAAAATAATAATAAAAGGAATAATAACTGAACGGATTTGAAAGACTAAAAAATTAAATATTATAATCTGCTTTGAGTCACACGCCACAAATTATACCCATAGAGAAAGGAACCCAAAACCAAACACCGCCAACAAATTTTTCCTTCCACAAAATAAAAACACACAAAACAAATTTAATTTTCCCCAAATTCTCCTTTTCTCCCAACCAAAACGACGCCGCATATCCCCCTCAGAAACTTCTCAACAGAGTAACTCCTATGGCGCCGATTACAGATCCAATTGACACCATCGCTCCCGTCGCTGCCGACTTTCCAGGTCCCGGAGCCGCCGTCGGCTCGTTCACCGCCGGTGCAATCGCCGCCTCCGATTTTGGCGAGTTTGCCGGCGCAATCGCTGCATGCAAATAGAATAAACGCTCAGATATTTCCTCACAAACATTCCGAAATCCAGATCGGTATCATCAGACTTAGATTAAGACTAATCGAAAAGCGTTTAGAGAAGAAATCGTACCAGGAGGACCAGCAGGAGAGTTCGACACTGAGAAAACAAAAAGAAATCAAAGATTTCACTTAAATAGACCAGTTCTTAATTTACCTAGGGTTTCATTTTTCTGAAAATCGAAATTGAAAGAGCGATTTGAAGGAATTAGCCTTACATTTACAGTTAGAAGCAGCAGGAGCAGAGACTTTGCAAGCGGCAGGGAGAGAAAGAGCCTTGGTGACGTTAAGGACGACGCCTAATTGTGCACTGTTCTTGAAGGCTTGGCAGAGGCAGTCAGCGTCGGCTTTGAGGACAGTCTTGAGGCCGGTGCAGCAGGATCCTTCGGGCTTGGTGGTGGTACTGTCGTTTGAGACGAAGGAGAGGCAGTCAGCCATGTTAAGGATGAGGCTGGAGCAGTCCACG